TGAAGAATTTTTGGGTATAATATATCACAGTTTAGTTTATTTTGCTATCCTCACTTTACATAAATGAACTATAGTGTCCTGCACCTACTAGTAAAACAATATCAAAAATTATATCTGGTCTCTGAATAATTTTTGGTTTGACTGTATATCCTTCTGTTATTTTCACACTTAATTATGCTCATTAAAATGTATTTTACAAGTTTGTGTTACTTTCGCTGTTAATTTTTTTCTCTCTCTATGGTAGCCTACATCATCTTTAACTTAATAGCATTAGAGCTGCTCCATTGCAGCGGCTTAGTACTGTAATCACGTGATTTGCTGTAAAAATGCAGGGAACCACTCGCTATAAATCTACTAACTGTGATATTTTCATAAATAGAAGTCGCGTTGTTTTCATCTGAAACGTGCAGCGATTTATTTCCAAAGCCACTCATATAATGCAGAAACACTCAAGCAAGCAAAACACGGGCAACGCGCACACGTATTTGTACTGGTGCAGAATGAGAGGGAAAAGTACAGTACAGCCTAGCGCATTTCACACAGGCTGTTAGTTTCACTTTCGCCAGAAAGTCGTGTATGCTTAAGGGTGAAAATAAATGACGTTTATAGTGAATGCCCCTATAAGTTGTCTTTATATTTACGATTTAGTTTTAATCCAAATGATGGGTGCTAAGTGAGCGAACATCAATAAAGATCACACAACAGAAGTGCGCGCTCTCTCTCTCCCTCCCTCCCTACCGTTAAGTAACGTGTGCATTTTTTTACTTACTACTTTTTGATATCTCCGACCGAACTACAAACTTTCCAGTGATGTCTGTAAGAAAGGGATATTCACTCGACAAGCTCGTGCATCTGCGCCGCCGCGCGCTCAATCCACTCAGCGTGATTTGCTTACCAGCTGGCGCAAATCAGCTATACAGGCATTAATACTGAATGTTTTATATTCATTGCATACATATACTTTGTAGACATCTTTAATCTCTAATAACTCCATTCTTCTGTCTGTTGTCGGTGTTTCTTTGTCTGAATATTGCTCTTATCACATGCTATGTGGTATCAGCGTTTGGTATCGGGGCATTTTAACGAGTATGAGTACGAGTACAGGAGCTTAGTATCAGGCCCGATACCGATACCAGTATCGGTATCGGTGCATCCCTAAAACTTAATTTAGGAAAAATATTTTGTGGGAAAAAAGATGTTTCCATCTCATCCTCATCCATTACTCCTGTGGAAATTGGCTGCTTCCTTTCAGAACTGTTTGGCAATCATTTTTTGACACAGCCATTGGCTCCAACATTTCAGAATGACCAGAGAAACATCTTTTCTTTTTGTTCTCTGAGCAAATTATTTGTTGACCTGTGACTTTTGCGATGCTTCCAGGACTTGTTTTTGGTAAATGTGTTTTCATCATATTTGAAGTCATATTTGATCTTCTCACTAAAAAAATACTTTAACCATGAAGCAAGCATATTTTTTAATGTACATTTCTTTGTGCATTTTGGTATTTCCAAACACAATTTTTTTTTAATGTATTGTCCCTAAATTTACAAAAACACATGAAAACATGACTAATGTATTTTTCACTGTTTTTTGGCCCACCTTTTTAAAATTTATGTTAAATATGGATCCCATGAAGAGTTTTTCGTAGTTTGTAGCTTCTTCCCAAATGACCAAAAAACTATTTCTGCTTGTTTTCTTGCAAAGGACTTGAACACACATGTCAGTGACCAAAATCCCTTTTCATTTCTCACTGTAATAATCACTCTCAGTTGCAGTGCCACGAACCACATGATCCATAACCCTGAATCTGAAGACCTCAGATCCATTGTCATAGTTCAGAATTCTGGGTGAGGGGAGTCTGCGAAACAATACTGCCCTCTTCTGGAAAGAGAGAGGAGAAAAAATAGCAGAAAAGGCCAGTAACAGATCAGAGACTGCTCTAAGAGGAATAGAAAGCTTTGCAACAGATGTGCTCTTATAATAGCCTCTAATGGAAGTGAAACGCACCCAACCAAAATAGTGAAATCCAAATAGGTTAAATCCATCTTCAGGAAAGTAACACAAAATTGAGATCATCCCCACCCTCTTCTGCACACTTGCGAGGCACAGGCGATTTTTGATTGCCTCTTTGTATCTGTCACTGAACTTTTGATTGTTTTAGGAAACAAAAAAACTAAATGTAGCTCATGAATTAGTCACAGTACAGCTGAGCTGAATGACAGACTAAGACTCAGACATTCACAATTTGCACAGCGTCTCACAGTCACAAACACAAACACACTTTACTCATGTGCATTGGTAGAAATGGAGCTGTCTGGTGCCATGGCAACCAATGCGGATATCCACCCCAATTCCCACCCCCTTCCTCATCAGAGAGAGAGAGAGAGAGAGCGATAGAACGTTAATTAAAATGGAAGCAGGGAATAACTGGGGTGGATGGGGAGAGAAAAGCATGGCTTCTACAAGATAAAAGGTTAGACTTTGCCTACAATGCAAACAAAACGGAAATGAGACGAATCCAGATTTCTTTTCTGTTTGCGACAAGTTGAATGAAGTACGTGAAAAGAAGTCATATAATTAAACTAAAACTTGTTCCTTCATTTTACGAGCAGGGAAAAATATTACTTTCTTATTTTCTGTCTTTTATATGTTTTCTGGAATAATAATGATTGCCCACTTTTTCTTTTTCTATAAAAATGTGTAAACATTTGCCATTCAATGAAGTTTAACGAAACACTGAAACATTAAGACACACACACACACACACACACACACACACACACACACACACACACAGACACACAGA